GAACACCGATCCACCACTGCGTGGAATTCTCATTCCCTCAGCACTTTCTATATATAAATTATCTGATTCATCATTTGCAACAACAATTTCTTCATTATGAGGGTTATCAGATAATAATGGATCCATTAGTTCGTCTTAAGTATAATTATCTACGTCTTTGGACGTTTGTGGTTCAAATGCAGTATATTTAAGTGAAATAAAATCAGCATTTTTTCTAGAATTTTTAGCCATAGTTTTTAACCGAGTTTTAAGTAAACAATAACACTAAAGAAAATCAAAAATGAAAAAGTTAGTAATACCGAAGTTATAAAGGTTAATTTTGGATATCATACGTATTTATATTTAATATTTGATCGTCAATTTATTATTGGTGGCTTACTTAAAAAATTTAAACTTTTTATCGTGGACTTTGGATAATAATGCACATAACGATCAATGAATCATTTATAATCATTTTTTTTATTCTTGATTTAATATTTTGTATATTTACAAAATAAACTTTCAGTCCTGAGGCTCATTTGATAAATAAAAAAAAAGACTAGACTTCTTAGTAGAAGAGATCGCTAAATTTAATAATGTTCGATAAATTTTTTACTCTATCATAAACATTATCTATGACGATAAATGTTATACATCGTTTTGGAATTCGTGTTAACATTAATTCTAAATTGACATAAGTCATTTTGAATCATAATTTGACGTATGATACCGATTTAAAAGAAAAAATATTAACGTTAAATTTTTATTCCAGTGCTATAAGTTTGGTGACCATCTTTGTTTTTTTGAGAAACACTTCTTGTTCTTCTTGTGCTTTTTTTCAACTCTTCTCTAAGAGCCAAATTTTGAATTTCTATCTCCGTTATCAATTCCTCAAGGTCCAACTTCTTGAGCTTCTTGATTCATAAGAAACTTAAATGACTTTGTTCAATGCTTTTTTGGTTATGGCATCTAATATTAAAAGAAAAAATATTAGTCAAATAGATTAAGTACAAATATCAAAAGTGATATCAAACAATTACTAGAAAAATATATATATATATGATATGAACTTAACTCAAGGACTAAGTTCTGTTCAAAGTCTCTATTTGCTATATGAAGTCAGGACCAGTGTTAGAAATTATATGTTCACAGCGTTCACAGTAAACATAGATTATTAAAAGAATGTTCACTAATAAGTCAACTCTGGATATAATGAACCTTTTTATAACGGACACACTATAACGAACTTTTTTCTTCGCAAATTACTATATAACGAACTTTTGAAAATTTTTTGCTATAAGACTCGTCAGTTCATTATATAGAGAGTTGACTGTATGCATATAATGTGAACATAAGCTCTAATTTCAATGATTTCTTGGTAATAAAGATTCATAGTTAACTACTTATCAGATTAACAATATCGATATGTAACAGTAATATCTTTAGAATTATTTTTTATATATATATTATAAATTTTGTATAGATAAAATAAATAAATATTTGTAATAAAGAATTTTTTTTAGCAAAAAACTATATTGATATAATTTTAAATTTTTATTTTAGTGGGAACATTATAAAAAAAATATATGTTGCAGCTGATGCTGAAATTGAAATTTACGGTCTCGATTTAAATCCTTAAAACTACTAAAATCTACTTATACTCTTTTATTATAAACCCTAACCCCAAAAAAATCTCACAAAAATGTACACCAGAAAATTTTTAATTTTAATATACAATACGAAAAATTTCAGCATCAAATTTCACAAAAATTATATATGTTTTTTAATACTTTCTGGATAATAAACATATAAAATTTTTATAATTGAAAAATTAAAAGCCGGGCGGGCGGGTCATTTTAAATTCACATGTTATGAGAAACAATTAATTAACTTTGTATGACCTTAAAGATGTTGTAAAATATTTGAAAAAACACTCCAATTTGTTATGAATCACAAGAAATATCGATCCGATGCGATAAAAGATAAAATGGCGAGAGAAAATTATAATAGTAAAAAAAAAAAAAAAAAAAAAAAAAAATGGAAATTTATAAATCTCATTTTAACCAACGTTATTAGTATTAACTTTAATCCTCGTCTGAATCGTTCCAACGAACGTTGGATAAAGGTGCAATTCCATCTTTTCGCATTTCAACTTGACGTTTGTCATAAATTTCGAAACAATTGAATATTGAAGTTTTGTTACGATAAGCGAAAAATATTTCCAACATATCACGACCAGGTTCAGGAAACAGTTCCTGGGTGTCCCGACTATTAGTAACGGGTTGATTTTCGTTATTTCTGTTGTGTCCCATGACATGAAATTTATTTGAGTATTATATGATAAAATCATGTGACATTTAAATTTTAACTATACATACACTATTCTAATATGCTTCAATTGGCCATTAGGAATATCTTTAACAAAAATCCATTTAACTTTAAATAAACCTTTCCATTTATCTTGTGCCCAAAGGCTACTATTTGTTGTATAATCCACAGGAGTAAGCATTTCTGCCATACCACAAAAATGTCCACTGAAATGAAAATATAATAATAAATACAAGAGAAAAAATTCGAATAAGATAAATAATGATATATTATATCTGCAATAGAATTATTTACCTTGCAATGACACTAAAGAACAAATAAATTGGACCTTTATCTGCACTATCGCGAAAAGCCTTATCTAGACGACGATTACCCATTTCTGTACTGGTCCAAATGTCATACTATGATGATAAAATCATAATAATATATTTAGCAAAAAATTTGTTCCTATATATTACCGAGTAGACATACGTGAACAACCTTTATTGATTTATGAACATCTTCTCCGGTAGTAGACTTGATTATGAAGAACCGTGCCTATATTAATGATAATAATGACCAAAAATTAACCCTCGAATATAAATGTTGATAGTTAATAAAAAAGGGTAAATATGCATGAACGCTTACGTGAGGTGGGTTGCAATTAAAAGTCATGGGGTTAAATCCTCTCTCCGCAATCCATAATGACATGTCATTCTTATTCATTGAATTTGGAGAAAATATGTTGCTAGCAACATTATTAGTAGGCGTTCCAAAAATTTCTGCACATTTTGTCTTAGGTGAGGAAGGTGAGAGAGTAACGCTGTAAGCCTCAACTACTTTATCTGATGCTTCTCGAGAAGCATTTACTGGTGGAAGTTTAGTAACCATTTTAGCACTCCCAGACCCTGACTTCTGTTTATCAGATGTGGTTTGTCCTGGTACTTGAACGTTGGAAATATCAAGATTTTTGTGGCTTTAAAGGTTTGCACAAAGTTTAATGTATATAATTTCTCTGTAAAATTTTATTTTCTAACATTTTACTTACAGCCTTGTAATTTCTGAATTAACCTATGCTCATCTCCTGATAATTTGTGTAAAAACTTATCAATAAATATATAAATTGATAGATCTATTTATAGAATTTACCATTTAAATTTGTATCAAAAGTATTTCTTGGTGGTAATACAGAATTAGGGATTACTCGAGGAGGTAAAATAGTTGAAGTAATAGCCTTATTTGGAGCCATAAATTTTGTCATAATATCTTTCCATAAACTATTTTCAAGGATTTGATGATACGGATATAATTTTTCCAGAATATCATCTCCGGTAATTTGAAAGTAACGAATATGAGGCAAACAATTTTTGAGAACAGTTTTTAAGGTTAAAAAATTTTCCTCAGACCATTTTTCAGGGTTAGAATTCAGATCAGGTCTTTGAGCAATTCCCCATCTAAGAACATGTTCCCAAATTTTTCCTTCATCCATTTGCAAGTTGTCATGTTTCAAGAGAGAAACTAATGCATTTTCTGAAAGAGTTATAAAGTCTTCAGAATCAAATAGAATACTTGGCTGTTTGGCAATAATGTCGTTACAAAACTGTTGTAAAACTTTAAACTCATCGCTTTCAAAACTTATTTTATGAATGTGAGTGAAATGTAGATGCATCCAAGAAGCATGATACTTAACCAATTGTATCTGTACATGATCGATTAACTCTTCAAGACCAAATTCTCTAGCTGTAGATAAAAGATCAAGGAGTGTAGAAGTATTGACTTTATCAAAGGAAACAATACCACCATAAATATATCTATAAAATTAAGAAAAAACTCTAATTTTAATGAATTTTAAGAAATATTCAATTAGTAACAGAATAAATTATTACTTAATAATGATTCCAAAAACATCAACCGAAATATGTGGTTTACTGATTTTTTCAAATTTATTTTTACTATCACGAAAATATGAACATCGAGAATTCAAGATAATTGAATGTGCTTTAAAAATTTTATTATTTGGCGTTTGGCCAACTTCAATTAATATATCGTGATCTTTTTCATTCTCGAGAAGATTCGTTAAATCGCTAGAAAGCTTTGTGAAAAATTCCGTAGTCATTTTTGCAAAGAAAGTATTATAATGTATGTTAGAAAAAAAAATATCAAATTTGATACGTATACCTGCATAAGATCTACCTAATGAGTTACGTTCTTGACGCATTTTTAGTAAAATATTTTTGAAGATACCTTGGCAACTACCTGACCGAATTCAATGAATTTTTTTTTTTGATTTAGTTCTACAGATCTGTAAAATTCAAATAATAAAAAAAATTCATCAATTTTGGTCAGGTGGTTGAGATATCTTCTTCGCTCAAAGTTTTAAAAAGAATTTGGTACGGCTTTTACTTTTGAGAGAATATACTCAATTACTACCTGACCAAATCGATAAAAAAAATTTTATTTGAACAGATCTGTAAAATTAAACCAAAAAATTTTCATTGAAATTGGTCAGGTAGTTGCCAAGATATCTTCGCTCAAAAGTTCAAAAATATTTTACTAAAAATGCGTCAAGATGTAACTCATTAGATAATTGAAAATTAGTAACCTGAGTAGTAATATCAATAGCTCTAGGGTAGATCTTGATTATCACACTTAAATAATACCATGAAAAAGAGTAATTATATACTAGTAAAAAAAAAAAAATAGAATAAAATTTTATTGTAAGCTTAATTAATTGAATTAATTACTAATTAGTTAATTAACTATAGTGCAAACAGCTTAGTTATATATGTATGAGTATAGAAAACTCACTCAAAAGACTAGAAAACATACTATAAGACATTAAGAAAAAAGATTTAGAATAGAGAAATACATATAAAGATTAAAGAAAAGATAATTAAAGTCTTTATCTAAAGACAAGACTTAAGAAGATAGAAAAAATCTTGAAAAATTTTTACTTTGATAAAAATTTTTGTAGAAAAATAACAAACTTTTAAAAATTTGATTTTACTATTACATAAAAATATTTAAACATTATAATTAATTTAAGGGTTTTATTTTTTATTGCACTTGCAATATATTGCATCTTTACTATATCTCAAAATTTTACTAGAGTAACCCCTGTCATGTAACTAATAAAAAATGTTCCTCTCACAATTTTAACCTAAAAAAACTCTAATTCTAACTCTAATCATAACTCTAACTCTAATCCTAACTCCAATTACTATTAGAGTGCAATATAGTAGGAGATGTAATAAATTATAATTTCTTTAATTTAATTAGGAAATTGAATATACAAAGCAAAACATGTAAGATTCTAGATAAACAAAACAAAACAAATATTATGTAAACTTATAGAAAACAAAAAGACATATATCTTTTTAAAACAAATAATTACTAAAGTAGTATAAAGTGAATAATAAGAAATTTTAAATTTTTTACAAGGTTTAAAACAAAATAGTATATAAGTAAATTAAATAGAGAATATGAAATACTAAAAGCTCTAAATACTTTATAAAAAAAATAACTAAGGAATATAAAAAAAAGATTATTCAAGAAAGTAGCTTATCTGATCTAAAACAGATAAACTATTTAGATGAAATAGTAGCAAAAATAATGAATATTAATAAGAATTCTATTATTTTAGTAAAATAGTAGTATAACTAATA